TTAAAGTTGTTTAAGTGCCGCTAAGCTTTTTTTTTTATGGCGGCCATTGGTTATTTACATTTGAAACAGCAGACTAGTGGGTTTGTTGCCAATCTAGAGAAACATAGCTTCACAACAACATAGATAAGTCCTTCACTTATTATTGCAAATTAAATCATGCTTAATCCTTTCTGGAAATTTTTTCGAGGAAATAAGTGTTTGAGATTTTCTTCGTAATTTTTAATAGAGATATTTTGAGTTTCTATGTATTTTTCCTTCTCGCGAAGTGAGAACTGAATTAATTGAATGAGGAATACTCAATCGTCTGTGAAAAACTTGTTTCTGTTTGTTTTATTTGCTTAATTTCTTTTATACATTATTCTAGCTTTATTATAGTATTTGAATAGAACATGTGGCAACAATTAGATGATTCTATTCTTTAAATGATATAAATTTTGTGCATTATGAGTTATAATATGGACGAAATTTAATACTGTTAAGTATATCTAGCGTCAGAGTGTCGCTATGGTAAAGAAATTCTAGAGTGAATTTTAAAGAATGCATTTATTCTATTGTGGTTTATGCGCTGTCGGCGAAGTAGATTTAATTCAATCCAAGAAATTTAAATGAAATGCAAGAAAAAATGCGTATAATTTAATATTCCGTACAAGGAAGTCATGTGGTGTACATATCAGATTTTTTAAATATAAATTTTATAAGATATCATCAGTTCAATATTATCCGTTACACACCCGTAAGCTGGTAACAATACAAGAGAGTAATTTATTAAGCTTTTTACCCTATTTGTTGTGTTTATTTAATATTTTAAGAAATGATTATTCTAATATGTATTTGTAGTAACGTGCGTTTGGTTTAGGTAAAAAATATTTGATAATTAAAACAATTATTTCTTCTTTTAAAAATTTAGGTTATGTAGAAAAATAATAACGTTTTTGTATTCAAGATAACTCATCTGCACTGAAATGAAACAAAAATAAATCGCTTTTGATCATTTCACTTATTCCTCGGCAGAATTAATAAAATAATATATATAAAGAAAATTAAATTCTTGAAAATGAAAGAACAGCTAAATATCCCATAAAAACTTTAGAAATAGTTTAAAGCATTCTTCTCAAAATATATTATATATATATATATATATATATATATATATATATTCATTCCAGAAATGTGTTTATACGAGATTGCTTGTCGAATATTAAGCGAACAAAGGAAGAAATCATAATTCACGCACCAGTTCCTTCCTCGAAGCCAGGATACGCAATTTTGATTCAGTGCCTTTGTTGCGAATGATTTATTCAATTTTCATAATTTGAATGCATGTTTATTAAAGTAGATTTTGTATAGATCATTAACAATTGTACTGAGCCCTCCCGTATCACATCTTTTTAAACTGCGTTCGTAATAAAAATTTATGAACAACAGTCAGGAAATTTAAAGAAAATTTATTACGGATAGTAAGGAAAACTATATTAAATATAAAAAATAAATTTACTTAATATTTATATTATTTATATTTAGGTAAATATGTGCTAAATATTAATAATAAATTTACTTCATATTTATATTATTAATATTTAGCAAAATATGTCCTAAGTATTAAACTTACGTAGTGTTTATATTATTAATATTAGGCTACATGTGTGCTAAATATTGTTGCGTGCGTACAGGTTCGTAACAGTTTGAATGCACGTAAGTCCAACGATAGGTTATTTAAATTTAAGTTTTGTAATTTTTCACAAAAGTACTGGTACAGTTCTTCACAGTATCACAAAGCACAATCAGTAGTGACACTTCAAACCATTAAAAACGTTAAACGCATCGCAGTGCAGTAAACCGTAGAGAGTACTTGGATCTTAAGCTGAGCTAACAGCTAACAACAATAACTGAGAGACAATGCCCATGAGGAAACATTTCGCTGTACATGTGGTTCAATACCAAGCACCTCCACATCAGAAGAGTAATAAAATGTACAGAGTTGGGGAAAACTGAAAAGAAAGAAATGGGAGAAATAATAGGAAATCCTACAAGGATGAGAAGCAGCAGAGAGAGGAGAGACAAATCTCTGAGAAAACCAGAAAAGAGTAAAAAAAAATCATAGTTAGTAAGAAAGGAGTAAAGAATTACTGCCAATGACGCATTAAACACAACTTCGTTGACTCAGGTGTTAGAAGCACTTGTTAACAGGCACCCGGGTAACAAACACATCCTGTATTGAACACGTGCGAAAATGGCATATCTTTTCTATCATAACGTGATGAAGTGCATAGGTGAGATGAAATCCCATGCAAGTGCGATGATTGAGTCTTGATATATAAGCGCTAGTTAGTCACCCTAAGAATGTCCATGGTATATGTGCAAAATAGCTACTATTTTCCTAACAAGCAATAAGGCGTATCTTTGCTGTGTGCTAGCGTCAGGACGGAGAGAGCTTGGATAAGTGAGTGAGTGAGTGACGGAGGACGTGGGCACCATCCCTCTACCGTTACGGTTAATTAGTATGAGCACCACGCCCGCCCTTATCTAGAATGACATAATTAGGTACTTAGGTTATCGCTACCCATTCAGACTTGCATGGTACATATTGCCATACTCTGACTTGCACGCCTATTACACATGCCGTACCATATTCGGACTTGCTTATTCATACTTGCATGGTGCATTTACATTCATATTGCATGGTACATATTTCACACATTTCATATTACACATTACATTTACTGGGAAATTGAATATGACTTATGTTTAAGGTTCTTTGCATCCGTAAGGTTCAATATTTACGTTAATTATACATGATTAGATACTTAGGTTAACTCTATGCATTCATTATTATTTACAGACTTGCATGGTACATATTACACACAGAGAGATTGATTAATACTTATGTTAAAGGTACTTTACATCTTAGGTATTTAGGTTAACACATAGTTTAACACTACGCATTCATTATTGTTTACAGGTTTGCATGGTGCATATTATATACATTACATAGTACAGCTTATATTTACTGAGAAGACTTGCATTGTACATAGTTCACGCATTACATAATACAATTACATTTCTAAGAATTTAATTATTAATTAATAATATTAATTAATACTTGCATGGTACATATCATACATATCATACACATTTCATAGTGCAGTTTACATTTACTGACAGATTGATTAATACTTTTGTTTAGGGTACTTAATATTTATGTTTAAGGTACTTTACACCTGTTTGATTCAATTCTTACTATAAGTATGTATAGTTGGGTTCTTAGGTTAGCACATAGGTTGGCTTTACGCATTAATTATTATTTACAGTTTGCATAGTACATATTACACACATTAAATAGTGCATGCTAATTAATTAGAATGGTACATATTATACACATTAAATAGTACTGTGAATATTGACATGGTACATATTACACACAATTACTGAGACATGGGGTATATTTGCATGGTACATATTACACACATTTACAATTTACAGTTAAAAAAAAAAAAAATACAATTGCTGAGAAAATTAGCATGTTACATATTACAATAATATTAACATGGTACATGTTGCACACATTAAATAGTACAGATTACAATTACTGAGAAACTTAATAGTACTTAATTTCGTTATGTTCAGACTTGCAGAATTGCATTTACCTATTACCATATTCTGACTTGCATGACTATTATATGTTCTATACCCTATTCAAACTTGCTTGATGCATATACATTCATATTGCATGGTACATATTCTCACACGTTACATACTATATATTGCATTTACTCAGAAATTGTTTTTACTTATGTTTAAGGTACGTTGCATCCGCAAGGTTCAATATTTTAATATTAATTAAACATAATTATGCATTCATTATTGTTTACAGACTTGCATGGTACATAGTACACACATTACATAATATTGATTACATTTACTAAGAAATTAATTAATAGTTTATGATATTAATTAATACTTGCATGGTGCATATTACTTGCTTATTATAGTACAGTTTACATTTATTGAGTGATTGATGAATACTTGTCTTTAAAGTACTTAATACGTTCAGACTTGCAAATCCAGGCTTGTATGATACATAAACATTCATATTGCATGGTATATATTTTACACATTACATACTATATATTTGCGTTTACCTGGAAATTGAATATAACTTATGTTTAAGGTACGTTGCATCCGTTGAGTTCATATTTACGTAATCATACTTAATTAGGTACTTAGGTTAACATTATGCATTCATTATTATTTACAGACTTGCATGATAGATAGTACATACATTACATAAGACTGATTATATTTACTAAGAAGTTCATTAATAGTTAATAATATTAATTGATACTTGCATGGTACATATAACACACATTTCATAGTACATTAAACATTTAGTGAGAGATTGCATAGTGCTTAAGTTTAAGTGCTGAGAGTGTTAGCATGGTACATATTACACACAATTACTGAGACATGGTACATATTACACATAATTACTGAGACATGGTACATATTACACACATTTACAGATTACAATTACTTAGAATATTAGCATGGTACATATTACACGCATTTACAGTTTACAATTACTTAGTATATTAGCATGGTACATAATATAATAATATTAGCATGGTACATATTACTACAATATTAGCATGGTACATATTACACACATTAAATAGTACAGTTTACAATTACTGAAGGATACATTAAGCAGTTTCTTACAATTCTGTGCCAAGTTTTACATAGTGCATATTACAAACCTGCATTTCACATACTACACACATTATTATATAATGCAGGTTATATTAATTTGCATGTAATATACATGCAGAAAAGGTCACTATGTTGAAATATTGTAACATTACTAATTGCACAAGGAAAGGTAATCTGCAGATTGGGTTGCAGTCTGTATATAAATAGTCTGATGTGAAAAATAGGCATAGTACATGCATAAATTTGTGATTCCTATGTAGTAGTCACTATGCTGCTTGACACCATAAGTTACATTAAGCAGTTTGACACAATTCTGTGCCAAGTGTCATTAGCTTTGACATGACGGCAGTGATTTGGCGTATTGTTGGCTTATGCTTAACGAGGAACCTGCAGAAGGCCTGCCTATCCGTTATAGGAATGGCAATATGGTGGTCCTCTGTAAGGGGACATGCAGTGATGTAATGGTCTGCTGTGCCCTCTTCGCCACAGATGCATTCGTCAGTGCTGGTGATAGCGTGTCGATGATAGTACTGTGGGAAGGGGCCATGACCGGATATGTAACGTACCAAGAGGGGACTGGCGATAAGTCTTTGTAAATCTACTTTTGGCTTGAAGTAAAAAGTTCTTCTGCCGGTTAAGCTGTTCGTCCACTCCTGCTGCCATTTATTGCAAACAATTTGCCGTAAGGTCTTTTTTAGATATGAGGTAGGCCATGGGATCTGTACTGTAGTAATGTTGTTCCCAGTGGCGGCGTCTTTTGCCAGGCCGTCTGCAAGTTCATTGCCATAAATACCTGTGTGCGCTTTAATCCATTTTATGACGTAATGATTGTGAGCATTTTCACGTAGACTTTTTTGAATGCCTGCTATTTGCGGGGAGGTATGTTCTGAATTGGCAATTGCTTGCATAGAAGACAGGCTATCTGTATGTATTAAGGCTTTGGAGATTTTATTATTCGTTAGATAGCGTATGGCCTCGTGAATGGCGAGTGCTTCACTCTGGAAAACGCTGTTTTCAGTGCTGAGCTGCATCTGCCATTGGTGAAGGGGTTGTTGTTGTTCACTGAGCACGACAAAGGCGCTGCCTACCTTTTCGTCAATACGAGAACCATCTGTGTAGATGGAGATGTAGCCGGATGGTGCCACATATGCTGGGTTCTTCGTGAGGTGAATTCCAATACCCTTGATTGCTTACACATTTGCTTCCCAGTCAAGTAGTAGTTACAGATTAAAATCATAGATGGCGAAACAGATGCATGTTGGAGATGAATTAATTACAGTTTTCGATCCTAGATGGCGACACGTATGTCGCGAATTAAAACTATTTTTAAGTTGGTAACATGAAACCAATTTTAGGTTGGCAAAAGAAATTTTTAGGGTAGAATTACATGGCAAACATACAAACAATATTCAATTTAAGTATTTAAACGTTTTCGGTCGTTTTCTGTTTTCTCTCGTGGAAGTTATAACCAACTGAGGGAGGGTGAATATTTTTTTTCAATTTTTGCAAAACATTCATTAATATTTTCAACGTCAAGTTCAGGATGAATTGCATCGTTTCTAATAAACCAGGGACAGTTAGCCATTTGCTTTAAAGTCATATAAAACATAGAAAACCGCAGACCTGTAGAAAACCACAGACCGGACAGGCGTAAGTAAAGATGGGACGCAACATGGATCTGAATACAAGAATTTTATTTTGAATAGATAACCTCGAGTTTCTGGCAATTCGAGTTTTGGGCAGAGTCATGTGTTGAGCGGCCAATCGGAGTTAATCTTCGAGCTCGAAAAAGGCTAACAAAATTTGGAGGGTTGAAGTCCTAAAATGAACTGTTTAGCTTAAGATTTAGCCTCTCGTATCTTTTGCAAGTTGGTAATATACTTTATAAAAAATGGATGTTACAGTGATTTTTGAAAATATCAAGGATAGGATCGAGTTTTTTTTTTTTTTTTTTCCCCAGTGATATTTTCTTGAGTATTTGGCTGTATTCCGCTGCAGCCAAATGTATTCGCTCTGGTGATAGTTATCAACTATCTTAACGCCAAATTACATCTTAAACGCAAATACAAATTAATAAGTGGTCAGGGAACTCTATATCTAACAAAATGATGCCATGTTATAATTCACGAAATGTTTTAAAAAACTTTGTAAAAAGTTACGCTACAATAAAAAGCGCCTCTTAAAAGATTCAGTCTCTGAGGTGATGACCACATTAGGCTAAATTAGATTCTTACTCATTTATAGAAATCTGCTTTCTGCATTTGTGAGCTATTCTGACCACCATAAAAGACTACTGCCTTTTTTTATATTTTTTATTTGAACTACAGAGGAAAAGCAAGATGAATTCAATATCTGACCACTATAATGCCTTTTTCATTAGCACCAGAGGTGCTATTAGTAGTTTGGAAATTTATTTTTTGTAGGTATTACTTACCCGTCCGAATCACTTTTCAAATGGTTTCCACCAAATATTATAGTCATGTAATATTTAAGAAAATTAAATAATGAAACAGCTGTAGATATGCATGTATGTTCCTCGCATTGCCGAAAAACGACGGCAACTAGAGCCGTTGAATTTTTAGTACATGTAGTCCTCTATTCGAATATGGGCACATCGGAGTCCGAATTTGAACTTCAAATTCATTTTGGGTTTACTTAATATTTTGTGCAAATTTAACAAATTCTTTTAAATAAACGCAGGGATTCGAAAGCGATAAGTGGCAACATTGTTCGAAAAAATATTTAACTCCTGAGTGCCGGACTGTTGCCATTCAGCAAAATATAGGATATTTATCTTTCAATTTTATTTCACAAATCCGGCTGCTTGAAAGCAATGTATTGCCCCTGCCTCAAACGCAATACTTATTAACTCCACTCACCAGCGTATTGCCATTCAGTAAAGCTTAAGATACTAAATTTTGAAATTTAATCTTTTTGTTGCTGAGTAGTAAACCAAGTAATTGAAAACCAATAAACGCAGTTCTTAAAAATATTTTTTCAACATTTTAATCGGATTTATTCAAATAAAAATGCATTTAAATCCTAAAATGTCTAATTGTAAATGTTAATTATTTTCATGCAATGTGTCTAACTGCATTAATTAAAAATCATTGTATACTTTTACGTTTTTCGTGATAATTGATTTAAATGGCTCGATTTCAAGGAAATAATAAATAAAATATAAAAAATGAACGTATGGCAACTCCTAATACATCGGGGTTTCTAAAATAATACTGTTTTTAAATATTTTGTGATATTGCGAGGAAATCAACTGCATGTGGCGTAAGAACGAATAAACGCGAAGCTCAATGATAAAACTAAAAAAAAAAAAAAAAAAAAAAAAAAAAAAAAAAAAAAAAAAATGTTTATTTTAGTGATTCCAACAGCAGATCGGTAACCTGCTGTGTTCAGAGAGCATAAAATATCTTAACAAACCCTCTGGTGCGACATCAGAATCATTTCAGGTTATTTTTTTTTCTTTTTTCCCTCTGGTATGTACCTTTTAAAATGCAAGAAGGAAGATAAAGCATACCATTGACAGAAGACGGAATTAAAAGACTGTAATGTTTGTTTTACGCGCACAATTTCTTCTGCTAGAGAAGTTTAGAAGCATTTAATACAAAACTAGTAAACTAAGTGGTAGTTACGGGATATTAATTATGCAGTCACGTTAAATAAGGAAAGCAAAATATGCTGAAGTATATTTTTCTTCATGCCTGTCAGCTTGAATTATTGATCCTGGTTTCTATCTGATTTCCTATCTGTGATTTACTGCCGCTGAATACAGCCGCTTTCTTCTCTTGACAAACTATATGTTTAACTATGTAATATAGTACACAAGTCGACAATAGCATCCTTAACTGCTGCAATATTGTGGATGCTTGCTTGAAAGCATATTTGCTGAAAATATGAAATGAGTTATGATGCAGTGAATTACAACTTCGGCATTTCATACTGAAAAGCCATAATAATAATCATTAATTTTGAGAAACACGTCCTGGAGTTGATAACCACTGCTCTCTGGCTATCAGTGTTTCTCATTTAAAAATATATTTTCTCAAATATTGAAAGCTTCTATTAGGAAATTGTAACAAACGTTCTCAAAAACGAAGTATACTTTTATGTCTGTTATGTGAATTTGTTAAGACATATCATTTGTTCAAAAGGCGTTAAGTATAGCTAGTAGCTAAACGGTGGTAGCTATTAATTAATAATGCATAGAAACAATAAATTTTACTGGGAGCAAATAAAGAACATTATCTTGCGTGCAGTGTTATTTTAACAGGAACACTTTGAGAGATTGAACATTATCTTCATCTTCAATTGCAACTATATGAAGTACAACAAAATGGAAGCACCGCTGAATTTGTGACACGTAGCATAAGTACGTAGCTTTCTGCTGTATCTAGAAGCATGTGTCAATATCCTGCAAGCACTACTAGAGTGAAATGAGTTATCGCTTTAGTCGAGAAAATGTTGAGAACTTTAAAATAACCTTTTTTTATTTAACATTTAAATGAGGAGAGGGAATTACTTGTGCGACAGATAAATCTCCTCTACTTGTGGGTACTTAAAATAGCACAAGATAAAACGAAATTCATAAATAGGTAGCGTAGTACCAGATTATAATCCAAAATAGACTACGTTAAGTGGCCCAAGAATAGGTAACGACGCATTTTTAAACGTCAGCTAGCCAGATGATGAAGCCGGATCAAAAACTGACAGAGCTATTTGGTAACACGTAACAGGAACACGAGGCTGCCAATTGATCTAATTCTAAACATTCAAACTTTCAGCTTAAATACACAAACAACTAATTTGCAGGTGGAGACTAGAAAAGAAGAATTTATAGTAAAGATGCAACTCGTATAAATTGGTTAATTAACATAAAAGATTGTAAGTAACTAATTAGCAACCTTCCATGCAAGAAGGAAAACTGCTAAATAAGGGAAAGAAAGCATAAATTTGGAATTTGGTTTTGATTCATTTCATATTTTGTACAAAATTAATGAATTTTTGTTTAAAAGCTCAACAATCTGAAAGAGAAAAATATCAACGCTGTTTGAAGTAAAACATTACATTTTTCCCGTTTGGCAAAATGTAAGGTATTAATTTTTCAATTTTATTCTGCAAATTCGGCTATTTGAAAGTAATGTGTTGCCACTGCCTCAAAAACAATACTTATTATCTCCACCCGACAGACAGTTTCCATTCAGAAAAACGTAAAATATTTAATTTTTTAATTTAACCTTTCTCTTGCCGAGACAGTAATAAAAGAAGTTTTTAAAAGTACATTTCTACTTTTAATCTAATTTACTAATTTAATATTAAGTTAATACTAATTTTTAATTTAATAAAAAATTATTTAATTCGTGAGATGTCTATTTAGACATATTAAGTTTTTTTATGAAATGGAACTAGCTGTCATTAAAATCGTTACATTTGATTTTAGTGATAACTCTTTAAGGCATCTGCCGCTCGAGCGAATAACTTTCCGGGAAATAATGTAGCGAATATAAAAAAATGGATGGCAGCCCAATACACTGTATCGGGAATTCTAAAGATATGCTTTTTTAAATATTCCATGATTTTTTGATAATATTTGCGAAGAAAGCGGTGTTTTATTACAATGTTAAAAAGACAAAAAAATTGTGTTATCAGGAATGAATCCAAGATTGGTAACCTGCAATACTCAGCGAAGGCATAAAAAATCTTTAAAAATTCTTCTTCTGTGACGTTGAAAAGAAAAATCATTTCAAATTTTCTTCCTTTCATTTTCCCCCACTAGTTTGAGCAATACAGAATATTGTACTGCATTACAAATACGATTTAACCATAAAATTACACGTAGAAAGAGATACTCTACAAAGGATCTCGAAATTAAAGGAATTACGTGACACGGATGCTAAAATATCTGTGCAAAAACAAATGGTCTCCTCCCCCCAAACCGATAATTAAAGTGGTAAACGTGTTGCAAACTTTAAATACAAAAACTTAATAATATGAATTATCGTAAATGTTTTACTACTTT